GTGTTTGTTTATATATTTATTTTTAGCTCCCAGAAATAAGTGAGAACATGTGGTATTTCTTTCTGTGCCTGACTTGTTTCACTTAATATAATTTTCTCTAAGGCTATCCACATTGTTGCAAATGGTATTACTTCATTCTTTATAGCAGAGTAGAATTTCATTGTGTAGATATACCAGTTTCCTTATCCACTCATCTGATGATGGACATGTGGGCGGGTTCCAACTCTTGGCTATTGTAAATAGTGCTGCAATAAACATTGGAGTGCAGGTATCCCTTCAGCATTATGATTTCGATTCCTCTGGGTATATTCCCAGCTGTGGAATAGCTGGGTCATATGGTAGATCTATCTGTAATTGTTTGAGGAACCTCCATACAATTTTCCATAAAGGCTGCACCATTACCAGTCCCAACAACAGTGTATGAGGGTTCCTTTTTCTCTACAACCTTGCCAGCACTTATCATTCTCAGGCTTTTGGATATTAGCCATCCTAACTGGAATGAGATGGTATCTCAGTGTGGTTTTGATTTGCATTTCCTGGATGCTGAGTGATGTTGAGCATTTTTTCATTTGTCTGTTGACCATTCATATATCTTTCTTTGAGAAATGCCTATTCAGCTCCTTTGCCCATTTTTAAACTGGTTTATTTGTTTTTTTGCTGTAAAGTTGTTGAGTTCCTTATATATTCTGGGTATTAATCCTTTGCCTGATGTATATTTTGGAAATATTTTCTCCCACTCTATTGGTTGTCTTTTCACTCTGTTGATTGTTTCTTTTGCTGTACAGAAGCTTTTTAGTTTGATATAATCCCATTTGTTTATTTTGCATTTAGTTGCCTATGATTTGGGGGTCATATTCATGAAGTCTGTGCCCACTCCTACTTCCTAGAGTTTCCCCTATGTTTCTTTAAGGAGTTTTATTGTTTCAGGATGTATATTTAATCTTTAATCCATTTTGAGTTGACTTTAGCATATGGTGAGAGGTGTGGGTCTAGTTTCATTCTCCTGCATATGGATATCCAGTTGTCCCAGCACCATTTGTTGAAGAGGCAGTTCCTTCCCCAGTGTGTGGAGTTGCTGCCTTTGTCAAAGACCAGATGGTTGTAGGTTGTAAGTGTAGGGTTGATCTCTGGGTTCTCTATTCTATTCCATTGATCCGTATGTCTGTTTTTATGCCAGTACCATGCTGTTTTGATTATTATAGCTTTGTAATATAGTTTAATGTCAGGTAGTGTTATGCCTCCAGCTTTATTTTTTTTAGCTCAGGATTGCTTTGGCTATGTGTGGTCTTTTGTTATTCCATAAAAATGCCTGGATAGTTTTTTCCATTTCTGAGAAAAATGTCATTGGAATTTTGATGGGATCTGTATTAAATCTGTAGATCACTTTGGATAATATGGACAGTTTCACAATGTTGATTCTTCCAATCCAAGAGCATGAGATATCTTTCCATCTTGTGTCCTCTTTAATTTCTCTCAACAGTGATTTGTAGTTTTCTTTGTAGAGATTTTTCACATCCTTAGTTAATTTTATTCCTAAGTATTTTTTTTTTTTTTTTTGGAGACAATGTAAATAGGCTAGCTTCCTTGATTTCTTTTTCTGCATGTTCACTGTTGGAGTATAGAAAGGCTACTGATTTTTCTGTGTTGATTTTGTATCCTGCAACATTGCTGAAATCATTTATCAACTGTAGGAGTTTTTTTTGTAGAGGCTTTAGACTGTTCAATGTATAGGATCATGTCATCTGCAAACAGGGACAGTTTGACTTCATCTTTTCCAATCTGGATGCCCTTTATTTCCTTTGCTTCTCTGATTGCTCTGGCAAGTACTTCCAACACTATGTTGAATAGAACTGGTGAGAATGGGCATCCATGTCTAGTTCCTGTTCATCCCATTCAGAATGATATTAGCAGTGGGCTTATCATACATGGCTTTAATTGTGTTGAGATACTTTCCATCTATACCTAACTTGTAGAGTCTTTATCATGAATGTTGAATTTTGTCAACTGCTTTTTCAGCATCTATAGAGATGAACATATGGTTTTTGTCTTTGCTTTAACTGATGTAGTGTATCACATTTATTGATTTGTGTATGTTGAACCAACCTTGCATCCCTGGGATGAATCCCACTTGATCAAGGTGTATAATTTTATGTATCTATTGCTGTATTCTGTTATCTAATATTTTGTTTAGGATTTCTGCATCTATATTCATCACGAATATTGGCCCCTAGTTTTCTATTTTTGATGTATCTTTGTCTGTTTTGGGTATCAGGGTGATGTTTGCCTCATAGAATGAGTTTGGGAGAAAGGGCTCTGTTTCAATCTTTTGGAACAGTTTGTACAGAATTGGTATCATTTCTCCTTTGAAGGTTTGGTTGAACTTTGCAGTGAACTGGTCCAGTCCTGGGCTTTTCTTTCTTGGGAGCCTCTTGATAACAGATTCAATCTCTTTTACTGTTATTGGTCTGTTCAGATTTTCTATATCTTCTTGCCTCAGTTTTGGCAGTTTGTATGTGTCTAGCGATTTATCCATTTCCTCCAGATTTTCAAATTTGTTGGCATATAGTTGTTTATCATAGTCTCTAATGATTTTTTGTATTTCTGAGGTGTCTGTTGTAATATCACCTTTTTCATTTGTAATTTTTGTTATTTGGTTCTTCTCTCTTTTTTTCTTAGTTAGCCTTGCTAAAGGTTTGTTGATTTTATTTATCATTTCAAAAACCAACTTTTTGTTTCATTGATCTTTTGTATTGTTTTTCAGGTTTCTATTTCATTTAGTTGTGCTCTGAACTTCATTATTTCTTTCCATCTGCTAACTTTGGATTTCGATTGTTCTTGTTTTTCTAGATCTTTAAGGTGAAGTATTAGATTGTTTATTTGCCATCATTCCATTCTTCTGAAGTAAGCATTTAATGTAATAAATTTCCCTCTTAGTACTGCTTTTGCTGTATCCCACCAGTTTGGGTATGATCTGTCATTATTTTCATTAGTTTCAAGAAATTTTTTGATTTCCTGTTTAATTTCTTCTTGTACCCATATGCCACTAAGTAGAATGCTGTTTAATTTCCATGTGTTAGTATAGTTTCCATAGTTTGGTTTGATATTGATTTCTAATTTTAATCCATTGTGATCTGAAGAAATACATGGAATAACTCCAGTTTTCTTGAATTTGTTGAGACTTGATTTGTTACCTAACATGTGGTCTCTCCCAGACAATGTTCCATGTGCTGATGAGAAGAATGACTATTTTGAGGTTGGTGGGTGGAATGTTCTGTAGATACCTGCCAAGTCCAATTGGTCTAAAGTGTTGTCTAGATCTTGTGTTTCTCTATTGATTTTTCACCTAGATGATCTCTCCAATGTTGAGAGTTGGGTGGTTCAGGTCCCCTGCTCTTATGGTGTTAGTGTCTATCTCATTCCTTAGATCTAATAGTGTTTGCTTTATAAATCTGGCTGCTCTGACATTGGGTACATACATATTTATGATGGTTATGTCTTCTTGATGGATAGATCCTTTTATCATTATATAGTGGCCTTCTTTATCTCTTTTTATGGTTTTTGCTTTAAGGTCTATTTTATCTGATATATGAATAGCTACTCCAGCTCGTTTTTCATTTCTATTTGCATGATATATCTTTTTCCATCCTTTCACTCTTAGTCTATGTGTGTCTTTACAGGCCATGTGAGTCTCTTGAAGGCAGCATATTGTTGCGCCCATTTTTTAAATACAGTCACTCTGTGTCTTTTGAGTGGGGAATTTAATCCCTTTACATTTAGAGTTATTATTGAAAGGTGTTGATTTACTCCTAGCATTTTATTGATCTTTGTTTAGATGTCTTAAGTACCTTTTGTTCCTTTCTTCCTAATTTTCTATTTATCTTCTGTATTTGTTGGTTTCCTGGGGTGGTAGATAAACTATGTTTTTTCCTTATTGTTAGCATTTTTGTTTTGCTGGTAGGTTTTGTTCTTTCTTGATTATTCATAGCAGTGATGGTTGTTTTTGAGGTATCAAACTCATTACTTCCTTGAGAATTTCTTGTAAGGCTGGTTGTGTGGTAGTGAACTCCTGCAGTTTTTGTTTGTCTGAGAAATATACTATTTGACCTTCATTTCAGAAGCGTAGCCTTGCTGGGTAAAGTATTCTTGGCTGGCAATTTCTGTCCTTTAGTATTTTGAATAGATCATCCCATTCTTTTCTGGCTTTTAGGGTTTCTGATGAAAAGTCTGATGTTATTCTGACTGGGGCTCCCTTATAGGTGACTTGCTGCTTCTCTCTTGCAGCTTTTAAGATTCTCTGTCTTTGAGCTTTGCCAGTTTGACTATCATGTGTCTTGGAGAGGACCTTTTTGAGTTGAATATGTCAGGGGATCTTCCGGCCTCCTGAATCTGGAGATCTGTGACTCTCCCTATACCTGGGAAGTTTTCTGCTATTATTTCACTGAATATGCTTTCAATGCCATTTCTTTTTTCCTCCCCTTCTGGAATACTCATGATTCAGATATTTGAGTGCTTAAGGTTGTCTGTTATCTCTCTTAGATTTTCTTCAATTTTTAAAAATTTTTTTCTTTTTTCTTGTCTGCCTGCATTAATTCACACAGCCTATCTTCAAGGTCTGAAATTCTCTCTTCTGCTTCTTCTAGCCTGCTGGTTAGACTCTCTGTCATGCTTTTTATTTCATTGAATGAATCCTTCAGCTCCACAAGCTCTCCTACATTCTTTTTCAAGGCATTGATTTCTTTGTACATTTCTTCTTTCAGATCCTGTATATTTTTTCTCCTTTCATTGTGTTGTCTGAGTTTTCTTGTATCTGATTTAGTTTCCTTAGGATTCTTACTCTAAATTCTTTGTCAGTCTTTTCAAAGAGTTCCTGTTCTATAGGATCTAGAGCTTGAGAGTTATTATTTTCCTTTGGTGGTGATGTACTTTCTTGATTTTTCATATTTCTGGTATCTTTCCTTTGGTGTTTTGTCATTGTGGCAGGGGATATCACAGTCCACTCATATCTCCTTGATGTCTGGCTTGGATCCTGAAGGGACTGCCAATTCTGGGCAGCAGGAACTAGCCTGGGCTAGGGGTCCTGCGACATCTGTCTTTTCCAGCATGGCTGTCTCAGGGTGTATGGACCCAGAGGCTCTTAAGTCTCTCTAAGTGGTGAGAACCAATCTGAGCTGGAGGTCCCACAGTGCCTGCCTTTTCCAGCATGGCTGACTATGGGCGTGTGAGCCCAGAGGCTCTTGAGTCTCTCTAAGTAGCAGGGACCAACCTGGGCTGGAGGTCTCGCGGTACCTGCCTTTTCTGGCTTGGCTGTCTCAGGGTGTGTGGCCCCCGTGGCTCTCAGGCCTCTCTGGGTGGCAAACACTGGCCTGGGATGGGGTCCTGTGGCATGCGGCTCCCGCCTATTCTGGCACTGATCTCATGTCTCCTGTTGTTGCTTTTTAATAGTTGCAAGTTGGTCGCTTTGTGGGAGAGAGCAACACTAGGAACTGTCTACTCCACCATCTTGACCGGAACTCCCCATGCATGCAATCTTAAATAGCATTGTTGAATTCAATTTTTCTGAAATTTAATAGAAGAAAATGAGACATGTCAAACTTAAGGAATTTGTATAAGTCAAATAAATTTTCTTCATAAGAGAAATTCACCTCTAAGCAATCACTCTGAAGGTAGAAAAACACATATTATTAGGTTGGAAGATGTGTTAGGCAGGGTTCTTTTCTGCAAATGTCAGAAAACAACTGGCTGGCTTGAGCAGAAAAAGAGATTTTAAAAGAGACATAGTAGCTCCCAGAATGTGGAGAATATAGACTACCAGGTTTTAAGAGTAGCAGAGAGGGGCTGGGCAGTCCCGGTTACACCACAGGGGTCAGTGGGCTACAACTGGGCACTCAGGCCTTGGAACCTTGGCTGGCTGCAGCCACCACAAATGAACCTCACTACTGTCCCCATCTTTCCATCACTCCCTCAAGATTCAAGCCCCAGGAGGGTATGTCCGAGGCCTAGGTGTGGGGAGGGTGGACAGGAAGCCCTGGCCCACGGGCTGCTGTCCTGAAAGGGGCCAGTTCTCAGAAAACCAGGGCATTGCCCAACACAGGATGGATATTTCTACAAGGTAGCCACCAAAAATGTACCCATGGTAACCACTCCCTGCCCTGCATCCACGTGTGTTATTCTAGTATCGTCTTCATGCCTGTCCCCCCAAAAGGAAATAACGTAAATAAAACAAAACAGGATCAAATCAAATCTTCTACTTTCAGGTGAAGACCCGCGCCCTCCCTCCCACCAGGAAGAGGGGCCAGCGAGTCCACGATTACCGTGCCCACCTCCAGACTGCTGTCTGAAGTCCATCTTTCCCTTTCATTTTGTCATGATGTTTTGTCCACCAGGCTCCTGACAGCTCCACCCACAGCACAAATGTCCCTGCAGGGATGAATGAGAGAGGGTGGTAGGACTGGCCCACCCTGGGTGAAGGTGGTAAGAGGGTACATTTCCTGTGGAGAACATTAAAATAATCATAAAGCTAACTAAAAGTCTGCTTTTTATTACCACCACAGTGCGGCTCTTCTAGGCAATGTCCGTGATCACTCTTCCTCACCCGCCCTGTGGTGTGCTACGTCCCCCTTGACACCGTCCTTCCCAGCCCCTGGCATGAGCCACTGCCCCTCAGTCCACATGGATGTCCACCACAGGTCTCTCTCATTCCAGGCAAAGGGGACCTTGGGCTCCACCACTTCCTCATGCTTTGTGCCCCCACAAACCTGGTGGCCTTTCAGGACACTCAGAGCAGCACACTAGAATCTGCTGTAGGTCACCTCCAAACCCACAGGCCCACCACACATCACGTGCCATCCCAGGCAGTAGAAAATGCAGAGCACGGCAGTGCCTCCTTCACATTAGATGCACGCACCCCAATGTCTCAGAGCACTGGGCCCCAGAATCCCCGCCAAGGGATAAACCTCAGTGTTCTTGAACAGAATGTGTTCACCTCCCATCCTTTCACTTGCATGTGCCCTACCAAAATACACAGGGTGCCACACCATCCACCCAGGTCTTGTCGGTGTGATGTCACCATGTGGTGACTCAGATGGTCCAGTAGCGGGGGAAGATGATCCAAGTGCAGGGAGGAGCCTGAGTACTGAAGACCCTCAAGGCAGGACATGGAAGAGTCACTTCACAGTCAAAGAAAACTCTCAGTTGCAGGTGATGTGACTTTTTACATATAAATCTCAACAGAACAACATGCAAACTTAGAGTTTATAAAGGTTTCTAGAAACAATGTTAACTCACAAAATCACTAGTGTTTCTCCTTCCCAAATATACAGCAGTATAAAATTATAAAGCATGTAGGAATTAACCTGTCCAAAACAGCTCGATATTTATGGATTCAATTTTTAAAATCTAGAAAGGACATAAAAAGAGTTAGTAGGGCCGGCCCGGTGGCGCACTGCTACAGTGCGCCGCTTGGGAAGCGTGGTGGCGCTCCCGCTGAGGGTTCGGATCCCACATACAGACCGGTTCCCGCTCACTGGCTGAGCGAGGTGCGGGCGCGACACTGAGGGTTGCGATCCCGTTGCCGGTCCGGTCCGGTACGGGCGCGACACTGAGGGTTGCGATCCGTTGCCGGACATGAAAAAAGACAAAAAGGAAAAAAAAATAATAATAAATAAATAAAAAGAGTTAGTAAATGGAGAGATAGACCATGTCCATGAATGGGACAACTTAACATTGTAAAGATGTTGGGCCGGCCTGGTGGCGCACTGGAGAGTGCGGCGCTCCCGCCAAGGGTTCAGATCCCATGTGGAGACCGGTTCCCGCTCACTGGCTGAGTGCGGTGCGGGCACAACACCGAGGGTTGCGATCCCGTTGCCGGTCAGTAAAGAAAGACAAAAAGGAAAAAAAAAAAAACATTGTAAAGATGTCAGTTCACCCCAAAATAATCTAGAAGTTTTATAGAATATCAATAAAATTTTAAGGTATTCTGTTTTTTTTAATTTTCAATAAACTAATTCTAAAATGTACATGGTAAAATAATGGTCACATATGGCTAAGAAAAACAAATATCCCACCAGATATTATGCTTGCTACACCACAGTAATAACAATAGCATAGCAATGACAGAGGTCACTGGAATAGAATACAGAGCTCAGATCAAGGTGCTGTCACAAAGCATTGGTGAACCATGTGTGTGCACGTGTGCGTGTGCACGTGTGTGCATGTGCATGTGTGTGCACATGCACATGTGTGTGTATCACATCAGAGTGGGTGTCCACCTACTAGGGAGCAGCAATCATGGATGAAGGGAACAGATAAGATGGACAGGGTCTTGGTGGCCCATGGTAGTGTGCACTTTAACTGAGGATTACACTTCATGCTTCTGTCAGATGTAAATAAAACAAAACACACACAGGAATTGTGTGCTGAAAACTATAAAACACTGATGAGAGAAATCAAAGACACCCTAAATATGATACAACCCAGCAATCACAGTTCTGGGCATTTATCCTAAGAAAATAAAACAAAACTGCATTCACACAGAAACCTGGACAGATTGTTCATAGCAGCTTTGTCTGTAATAGGCCCAAAATGGAAACAACTGAAATATTCCTCAGTAGGTGATGTCCAAATGAACTGCTACCGGTGATGCACCACGGAATAAAAAGGAATGAACAGCTGATACACGCAGTGCCTCAGGTGCATCTCAAGAGCATTATTGGTGAGCAAGAAAAGCCAATCTCAAAAGGTCACATGCTATCTTATTCCATTTATATAATATTCTTGAAATGACAACATCATAAAGATGGAGGAAAAACTCGTAGTTTTCAGGGGTTCAGAATTGGGGGAGGGCGGTGAGAGGCTGGGGAGACTACGAATGGGCCGCACGAGGAGCCCATGTGTGGAGCAGGGACTTGATTCTGACCGCATTGGTGGTTACGTGGATCTGCACACACCTTACCAGTGTCATGGTCCTGGTCTGAAGTGGTGCTGTAGTTACATAAGATATGACCACTGGGGGAAGCTGGGGGAAGGGTTCACAAGGACTCCATGCACCGTATCTGCAACTCTTGAGAATCTGTAATTATTTTAAAATAAAAAGTAAAAAAAAAAAAAAAAAAAGACAGAAAAATCAAAGCTTTAAAAAACAAAAAAAAGCCCTCAACAAGCGAAAAGTTCTTTGAGGACTCTCTGCAGGCCCTTGATATTTGACCTGCCTAGACAAATGCTTGTCTCCTCATAGATCACAAATGTTTTCCTGGATCATACTGTGACTTTTTCCAAATATATTCATCTGTTGCCCTTACAGGTATTTTATAACTGCACGGCCACTGTCCCTGCCCTGTCCTAATTGTCAGTACCTCAGAATGTGACCCTGTTTGGAGATAGGGTCTGCAAAAAGATAAATATGTAAAGTGAGATCATTGGGGGGCCCTAATCCATAGGGCTGGTGTCCTATAAGAAGAGGAGATCAGGACATGGATATGCATAGAGGGATGACCATGTGATGACACAGGGAGAAGATGGCCATCTGAAAGCCAAGGAGAGAGGCCTCAGGAGGAACCAACCCTGTCCACACCTTGACCTTCGACTTCTAGCTTCCAGAGCTGTGAAATAAATACCTTCTGCCTAAGCCGCCCAGTCTGTAGCACTTTGCTATGGCAGCCTGAGCTGACTAATACACTGAGCAAACTGGGAGATGAGTGGGGAACCTGGGGAAGTGACACCTAGAGTGCAGGAAGCCAGCCAGGGAACTGCAACCTTGCTCAACAGAAGCCCCAGGACAAGGTCCTCCCTTGGCCAGGAGCTTCCCAGCTACGTCCTGCTACATCATGGGGCAGGGTCCCTCCCCCCAGCAGTCACACACCTCCTGGTGTGGCCACACTTTTCTGTCGGATGGAGGAATTCCAGGACCTCACGCCCTCTGCAGCTTTTCTGCGCACAGCATTTCCCCATAAGCCTCATTTGTATGCATGTGGCGCTCAGCTCTGGGACATGCTGCCCAGCCCCTGCATGTCCTCCTTCCCACACCTGTCCCTTCCAGCATGCCCAGTGCCAGGATTGTGTGACTTCCTGCCACCACAGAATGCCCCCTCCTGCCCATGATTGTATACACACAGACAGCCATCATAATGAACAGGACAGATGACCTTTTCTGGGGCTCCCCAAATCACACTATGCCAAGCTCAACATAAAACCAGAGTGGTGCCATTTCAACTGGGAGGGAAGTGAGGCTCACAGGGACAGGGTGACCTCTCAAAGGCACAGCACTGAGACCTTGCGTGTCCACCCTGTGTGTGTAATGGAAGAAGTGTTGAGCTTCATGAATGGGCTTCATCTGTACCACCTGGCACCCAGGACCTGGGATCTGTCATTACAGGGCATCATGGTCACAGCCTTTAACATGCGGTTGTTGAACTCAGTTCAAACCAAAAGAGGATGAGATCTGCCCCAATGAGGCCTCTTCCTCTGCAGGCTGGATGCTCCTGAGTGGCTTTTCATCAGCTTGTCAGCACTTGGCAGTGGCCCAAGTGTAGTGACCCAGCTATACAGGATGTGGCCCTGTCACCTGGGGCACGGAAAGGGCTCAGCCTTGCCAAGTCCAAGTCCGTGTCTGTGTCCAGGACCAGGGAGCACATTCTGGTGATTCCTGACTGGCCAACGCCTTAAGCTCAGCCAGTGCCTGCAAACAAGTGTGGCAGTTTGGTCCCTTTCCTGGTTATAGGTAAGCAACAGGTGGGAGAAGGAGTTTGGGTCAGTGGTGACAAGCCCATCAGCCCAAAGTGCCCTTCGTTCTGCTCCTCCCAGCACCGGCGCTCTGCCACATGTGGAGTGGAGTCTCACCTCAGCCAATGCTTCAGGTCACCCAGCAGAGGGGAAAGAAGGCTGCTGTCCCTGGATGTTCACCATGGGTCCACCCCTGCCCCTGAAATAGTGTGGAAATAGATGAAGACCACCCAAATGAGAAAAGCAAAGGCTGCTACTCAGAGCCTCCTACAGCAATGGAGACGGCAGCTGTCACCTGCACTCAGCAGAGCTGTGCAGGCAGGTCAAGGAGCAGGCAAGCTTCGTCGCGGGAAAAGAGACGGTCCAGGGGAGCCCTGGTGGAAGCCGTGGGCCTGCGGAAGTCGGGGTGCTGACCAGAAGTGAGGCTTCCTGTGTGGCTGTCTACGGGAGCACGTGGCTGCCCACGGCTGCTCCTGAGTTGGGAGAGGAACGAAGATTAGGGAAGTTTGAGTTACTAATCAAGTCCTGGCTGTTCGGGGCCAATCATCACAGGGACTGTTCTTTGGCTTCCTGGACTGTCACTAGAGACAGAGTCTGACTTCCTGCAGGTCTGACTCAGAGCAGGTGGCCTCTTGGGCTGGTGACTGAGATGGGTTGGCTTCCTGGGCAGGTGGTTGCAGGCTGTGGGTCAGGGCTGTTGTCCATGCATGGTCTGGCCACTGTCTGCTTCCACATTCAGTCTCTCAGTAACTAAACCAGAGACACGGGCAGACAGCCGGGCTGCCCCTCTCTCCTGCCCACCAGCTCCTGGTGCTGAAGAGCTGAGCCTGTGGACTCAGAGGACCCATGTGCAGCGGGGAAATGGCACAGGAGGCACGCAGACCTGTGACATCCCACCCACTCATGGCAGTCACGGCTCGTGCTTGGTTACCTATCAGTAAGAGTCATTTGGTTCATAGTCAGCCTTCCTTTTATGGCTGGAGCCTAAAATACCTAGTGTGCTCTGCACGCCAGTGGGCCTCTCTGCACTGTGGCCAGTTAGCCCCAAAACTGTTTTCTCTCCTGGACAAAATGAGTGGGAGCCACCGCCCCCTCCTGGTGACCTTGCCCCACCCTGAGCAGTGGCTGTTTTTCCCCATCTCTGGCTCAGGACCCCGAGCTCAGTGACTTCATGGCAGGCCACCCAGTGCAGGGACATTGGTCGGACTGGTTTCTCTCAGAGGACTCTGAGGAGGGAAGAGAGGATGGGAGGGCCCAGTGGGGAGGGACAAAGGTCCTCTGTGCGGCCGAGCTCTAGTCAGCTCCTCAGCCTTCTCCTAGGCCCATCCATGCGCTTCCTTGCAAGGGCCAGTTCTAGCAAGAACCCTGCTAAGTCAGTGTAGCAAGAGCCTTCCACCCGCCACATCTGATCAGGTGCCTCCTCCTCCCCCACCCCCAGGTGATGTCTGGCCACCCTGGCCTGCCTTCAGCAAGAATCCTGTTAGGTCAGTTTAGCCAGAATCCCCCTTACCCCAAATGTCACCTCTAGTCATTCCATCCATTGACCCCATGCCCTGCTCCTTGGCAGTAAAATCCCGCTTATCTGTGCTATGTCTGGAGTTGGGCCCAGTGTCCTCCCCCCACTGCAAGACCCCATGGCTGTGGTCCCTACACCTATCCTGGATAAAGTCTGCCTTATCTGCTTTAACAAGCATCATGAGTAATTTTTTCCAGGCAGAGAGTGCTCTGGTGGCCGAGTGCCTTGGTGGGGGACACTGCCATAGCAGCTGGCAGTGGGGCTGGCACCGCGGCTGGCACCGCTGAGCACTGACCAAGCTGGCCTTAATGTGCCCTCGGTTGACAAGCTTTTTCCTGCCTCCAGCCCCTGATCTCCCTTTTCTTAGAGCATTTTCTTTAGAAAACTTATTGTAAATTCTTTCTCTGTCCTTTTGAGATGTATGTAAATCTTTTTTTTTTTAGCAGCTTCTTGCCTGCTTTACAGCCCAGGAATGTCTTTCTCAAGGACCTGGGAACCCTCTCTCTGAAATGCAGTCATCAAAGGAGACAGTGTCCTTCTCTCTGGCTTCTGGCCTCTCTCCCCCACTGCAATAGCCTGGAATGAAGTCTTCTTGCCTGTTTGATGGGTGCAGTTTTAGCTTTGACAGCTCCATGGCCTTGGCTACATGTGGGCTATGCAGGCCTGACTGGCCTCACCTGCCTTCCAACACTGAGGTCCTGCCTGCAGAGACAGACCAGGACACAGGCAAGCCCTGACATCTGGGCACAGCCGGGGTAGCTCAGACAGATGGTGCCCACCCTCAGGCCCCAGGACCTGCCCTGCCCTGCCTCTCATCCCTGCCTCGCCTGCTCCACAAAAGCACATTTCTACAGAAAGTACATCTGCAGGACATGACAGCATTTGCTTATTACCATTAGGCCCACAGTGCGATTAGTTTAGGTGAAGATGTAGGCTCATTCCTCTGACTTTTATTTTAGTTCAATTATCTTTTTTCTTTGCCCTGAAAAAAAGAAAATTCTGACACGTACCTCAATTTTCCACCTACACAGTTAGCTTCTGCTAGACAATGCCTGTTCATGGAGGAAAAACTCCTGAATTTTAAGAAAAGCCCTAAGTACTTGGAGGCCACAGGTGTAAATGGGGCCTGATTCTAGACCCTGCTCTGGGACCGAGTTATCCTTTTCTCAGACATGCCCATCTGGAGGACTCAGAAGACTCGCCACAACCCCCAGGGAAGGCGTGACATCCAGGACCCGTGGTGGGAACCGGCTCTGTGGGGGAGCAGAACGGAGGGGCAAAAGGAGGACATGCCATCCAACCGCCTGGCGACAGCAGGCTGGGGCCCTGCTTGGGTTTTGTTTGTTTGAGGTTGGGTGTCGGTGCTGGAGTTGAACAGCGATCTCGTACCCAGAGGAGAAGAGCAGGACAGAGCCAGACATTTCCGCGCAGATGGTTTTAGGCGGTGTCTGGTGCTCTGGGCACAGACCAGCCGGCCCTGCAGCCACCTCGCACTCCCTGCGGGGCGGCCACCCTGCCAGGCCACTTAAGCACCTTTGCAGAGCGTGCAGGGCCTCATCCACTCGCTGAAGCGCTTGCCTTTGTTTTCTCCAGGACTTCCCTCCTCACGGAGCTGGCTGAGGGTGACGCAGGTGGCAACAGGAGCTAGAAGCAGACATCTCGGAAAACCCGCTGGATTCCAGATAAAGAAAAGAGGCTCCGTCTGAAAGCTCCTCCCAGGAAGGGCTGCAGGCCCCGCACGCAGCACAGGTGGCCCCGTTCTCACGTTCAGCCCCCTTATACGGTCACTTTACGGTCCTTTGAGGGGACTTCTGCCAAATATTTAAGCTTT